AAAAAAAACAAAAACAACAACAAAAAAAACCCTACGCGTCTCATGTATTTCTTTCTTTCTTTCTTTCTTTTGAGACGGAGTTTCACATTTCACTCTTGTTGCCCAAGCTGGAGTGCGATGGCACAACCTTGACTCACTGCAACCTCCACCTCCCGGATTCAAGCGATTCTCCTGCCTCATCCTCCAGAATAGCTGGGATTACAGGTGCCTGCCACCACACCTGGCTATTTTTTCTATTTTTTAGTAGAGACAAGGTTTCACCATACTGGTCATGCTGGTCTCGAACTCCTGACCTCAGGTGATCCACCTGCCTCGGCCTCCCAAAGTGGGATTACAGGCATGAGCCACTGCACCTGGCCGCATCTCGTATATTTCTATTAGAACTGCATTTTACTATTTTACATACAGGTCTTAAAAATTCGCAACAAGAGTATTCACTGATGGCTTCAATGACCAGTTGACGGCCGGGCGCGGTGGCTCAAGCCTGTAATCCCAGCACTTTGGGAGGCCGAGACGGGTGGATCACGAGGTCAGGAGATCGAGACCATCCTGGCTAACACAGTGAAACCCCGTCTCTACTAAAAAATACAAAAAAACTAGCCGAGCGAGGTGGCGGGCGCCTGTAGTGCCAGCTACTTGGGAAGCTGAGGCAGGAGAATGGCCTGAACCCGGGAGGCAGAGCTTGCAGTGAGCTGAGATCCGGCCACTGCACTCCAGCCAGGGGGATAGAGTGAGACTCCGTCTCAAAAAAAAAAAAAAAAATGACCAGTTGACAATGTAAGAAGGCAGAAACTTCCACCATAGAATGATGACAGACAGCCACATTTACATATGAAGCCTTCTGAAGTAGGAAAAATGAATTTTTGAATCATCAAAATGATACAAACTTTTACCTTATCTAGACTTTTTTGTAAGGGTACAGCAATAAGTTTTAAGTTCTATTTAAATCCGATGAAGATTCTTTTTTAAAATCTGACTCTCAGGCTGGACGTGGTGGTTCACGCCTGTAATCTCAGCACTTTGGGAGGCCAAGGTGGGCGGATCATGAGGTCAGGAGATTGAGACCATCCTGGCCAACATGGTGAAACCCCATCTCTACTAAAATACAAAAAAAAAAAAAAAAAAAAAAAAAACTGACTCTCATTTTCTGCTTAAAATGAATTATCTCCAATAATTATCTGTATTCTTACTTTCCATTTTCTGTCTATCCCCTCAACCCCTTCTCAAAGACTCTTAGAAGAAAGGAATAGGGTAAGCTGAACTGAAGGGAAAAAAACAAAAACAAAAACCTAAGACAATATTCATCAATGTGCTAAGTATCCATAATACTTACTTCAGTTGTCTATTTAATTCTTCAACATAATTCTTTTGGTCCAATATGGCAGCAATTTGAACATTCCTAAATGAGCAAAAAAGTAGCTTTGTGCTAGTTTAAAAGGTATTTATTAAGTAAAAAAAATCTAAATCATCTAAAATTATTATAAAACTAAAATAATAAAACAGTGTCTCGCCTTTAAAATAAAACATAAGAATAACAGTAAGCTATGTACTAAGAATCTATAACCTTTGTTGAATAAATCACTTGTCAATAATAGACTTAACAATACCATTAGTGTATTTTAAATTTAAACATAATTAGGGCCAGGCACGGTGGCTCACCCCTGTAATCCCAGCACTTTGGGAGGCCAAGGCAGGTAGGTCACTTGAGTCCAGGAGTTCAAAACCAGTCTGGCCAGCGTGGTAAAACCCTGTCTCTACTAAAAATAACAAAAATTAGCCAGGCATGGTGGCGGGTGCCTGTAATCCCAGCTACTGGGGAGGCTGAGGAAGGAGAATCACTTGAACCCAGGAGGCGGAGGTTGCAGTGAGCCAAGATCGAACCACTGCATTCCAGCCAGAGCAACAGAACAAGACTCTGTCTCAAAAAAGAAACAACAAAAAAAAAAACATAGTTCGATCTTGAAGTAAACCAGTATTTGCAAACTTGTAAATAATAAGCTTTCATCTCTTTTATTCCAAAAAACAGTTATTAAAATGGGTCTCAGAAACTACAGTTATAACCAAAGATCCCACTTCATACAATTAATAAAATCTCCTTCTCCTAAGTGATTTTCCATAATCTGCTTTGTAAAGCTTGTAATGGAAGTGAAAATGAAATGAAGAAGTCACAGGGGGGAAAACAACAAAATAAAACCACACTGTAGATAGATGAATCTTATAATGATTTGTAAAGAGCTATATAAAAAACCCAATATGTGAAATAACTTATGAAAAGCATACCTTTCTTTATTTCCAATATCTTCTTCATTCTTTAAATACATAGAAAAATCAATCACTCCAACCTGAAGTAAAGATAGATTTTTTTTTATTTAAAGGGGAGAAAATACTTTATCAGAAGTACCTTTACTGAATGTCACTCTTAATATTCCTTTAGTGTTTAACAGTCCTGTTTACAACTTCAAATGACACCTGATCAAGGAGGAACTGTGCAAATTGAAAACACTCTGCATTTGGCACTAATCACTTTCACTTACTTGTGAGTCTAAATCCTCTCCCTTCACACACAGATTAGCATCGATCACATTCAGGCCAACCAGCAGCCCAACAATTACTGCTCCTTCTTCTTCCATCATTAGTGCATGATACTCATAAAACTCACTGTGAATTTAAAAAATAAGGACTTTAAATCACAAATTTATTTCAAAAACTAAAATTTAAAATCACCGTTATCTTCCTAATCTTCTACCTTACAGAAATGGAAGCCATCTCAGTTAGGTACCTTCAAATTAGGCTTTACACATGTGAATAACTTTTTATATTTTTTAAATTTAAATGTCTCTATTGAAAAATCAAAAAGACTGAAGGAGATAAAAGAGGAAAAAATGTTTTGAGACAGAGAAAAGAGGAGCAAAAAGGGATGAAAAGAAAAAGTGGCACCAGACACGGTGCCTCATGCCTGTAATCCCAGCACTTTGAGAGGCCAAGGCAGGAAGATCACTTGAGGTCAGGAGTTCAAGACCAACCTGGCCAACATGGTGAAACACCACCTCTACTAAAAATACAAAAATTAGCCAGGCGTAGTGGCACATGCCTGTAATTCCAGCTACTCAGGAGACTGAGGCAGGAGAATTGCCTGAACCCAAGAGGCAGAGGTTGCAGTGAGCCAAGATCACGCCACCGCACTCCAGCCTGGGCAACAGAACAGGACTCCGTCTCAAAAAAATAAAAATAAAGAGAGGCAACACTAAGCCCTGGGATATTTCTGACTCAGGCGGACATAGTAACTGCTGCTGATCTGATTATGACATATTTTATTAAAGCTGAACTTTCAATCCTCAGATTTATTAAGACCTTGGGATAAAGACTAACGAGGAAAATGAACATATGCAACATTTCAAAGCCCATGTTCAAGTCAATGCATTTGATAGGTGTATTATAAATCTTAATAGATAATTATAAATTAAAGACACTTTGGGATATCTACATTCTAAAAACTGTTCAAAAAGAGAGTTGTGAAAGAAATACGATGGTCCAAAAACTAAGTCTCATCAACATACATCCAGAGAAGTAGTTATCACTGTCTCATGCCTTCTTTAATAAGTCCCATGTACATTATTTAATCACTTTCATTATCCTTCAGAATACTGAGAAGCTGTGGGTACTTAACGTATGGTCATTCTTGTTTAACAACTGGGAAAACCACAATGCAAAATCAGAGTCACAAGTAAAACCAAAACCAGGACTAAATTCTCCACAACATCAGAGAGGAACTCTAACAGAACAAGAATGAATGGAGGGCCACCATGGGCCCACTCCCTTGGAGAACTGATTGCCTTGCTCTAAAAGTCTGTCTTAAATAAATGTTTGGCCTTCATTTTATTTTATTTTTTTGAGACAGGGCCTCACTCTATCACCCAGGCTGGAGTACAGTGGCACAATCTCAGGTCACTGCAACCTTCCTCTACCGGGTTCAAGCAGTTCTCCTGCCTCAGCCTCCCAAGTAGCTGAGATTACAGGCATGTGCCACCACACCCAGCTAATTTTTGTGTTTTTAGTAGAGACGGGGTTTCACCACGTTGGTCTTGAACTCCTGACCTCAAATGATCCACCCGCCTTGGCCTCCCACAGTGCTGGGATTACAGGCATGAGCCACCACACCCAGCCAAAATAAATGTTTGGCCTTCAATTTAAAGTGTGCCCACAATACAGCTGAAGCAATAATATGGATATTCAAATTCTAAAAAAACCCAAAAAACAAAAAGCCTATGAAATTAAAGCCCCAAATTCCAACACAAATTTTTATCCATAGAATTAACCATATTCAGAAAAATAAAACTAATTGAGAAATGTACTATATATAGCAGTTTCCAGGCAGGGGAAAAGAAAAAAATTTCAAACAAAGAGGAAGAAATGTAATATATATAAATTTCCCCATCCTGGCTGATAACAAGCTTATGGTATTCATATATAAGACTAGTTCCTGATCCATGTTATGCCTCCATCATGTTTTTCTGTCTCATTTTGCTCCTCCTTTTATTTTATATCATTTTATTATATGTTACATATCCTTTCATATTACATCTTAAATCCTTTTTGGAAGACAGCATATAAATAACATTAAAAATGAAAAGATCACGACTTAATAGTACTAACCTTAAGAGATCCCTCTGAATAATCAAGCAACGTAAGTAATCGGCCATTTTTTTTTGCATAAGGGCTAATCGAAGCCATGCTCTTGCTCGACCCAGAGGGGTCCTAAAGAGAAGAACCAATTGATCAGAAAACAGCCCTAGCCCAAAGATCACATCTTCTATCACGAGAGGTACACATTAACAAGGAAGAAGGGCATTTTTATAATGGTTTTGTTTTCATTTTTATAGGTTTATCTTTTTGAGCACACAGACCAATCCCTGAGAGCTGGGTAAATCTGCTCCTCCTGTAGGACATGTAGGTACTATTTAATGTCTTGGAAAAAATGACTCTAAACACAGTAGTGTGTCGCTTAATGACAGGGATACGTTCAGAAAAATGCGTTGTTAGGTGATTTCATCATGGAGTGTACATTTGCAAACCTAGATGGTATACACACCTACACCATATAGTATACCCTATTGTTCCTAGGTTGCAAACCTATATAGCGTGCTACTGTACTGAATGCTGTAGGCAATTGCTATACAATTGTTAAGTATTTGTATATCTAAACATGGAAATGGTAAAGTAAAAATAGAGTATTATAATCTTATGGAACCACTATCATTGAATGAAATGTTATGCAGTGCAGGACTGTGGTGAGAATACTTCTAGGAAATGTTTAGGTGGACATGGTGGCTGACACCTGTCATCCCTACACTTTGAGAGGTTAAGGTGGGAGGATCACTTGAGTCCAGGAGTTAGAGGACAGCCTGGACAACATAGGGAGACCCTGTCTCTATAAAAAAAAAAAAAAAAAATTGAGTCAAAAAAATTAAAATTAAAAAATCAAAATGCCAGGTATGTGCCTGTAGTCCCAGCTACTCAGGAGGCTGAAGCAGGAGGGCTGTTTAAGCCCAGTAGGCACCGGCTGTAGTGAACAGTGATTCACTGTACTCAAGCCTGGGCGACAGAGTGAGACACTGTCTCAGAAAAAAGAAAAGAAATATTTAGCCTGAATGGGCTTAGCCCTCTAAAAATAAATATTAAAACTTCACCAGGCTGGGCCCAGTGGCTCATGCCTGTAATCCCAGCACTTTGGGAGGCCAAGGCGAGCAGATCACAAGGTCAAGAGTTCGAAAGAAGCCTGGCCAACATGGTGAAACCCCACCTCCACTAAAAATACAAAAAAATAGCTGAACTTGGTGGTGGGTGTCTATAATCCCGGCTACTCAGGAGGCTGAGGCAGGAGAATCACTTGAACCCAGGAGGCGGAGGTTACAGTGAGGCAAGATTGCACCATTGCATTCCAGCCTGGGCAACAAGGCAACATTCAGTCTCAAAAAAAAAAAATTGTTTCAACAATAAGGCACCATAATGTCTTCAAAAACATAGGTAACATTATATCTGAATTCTAGAAATCATAACAAAGCTAAGAGGGTGCCAGGCTAGTAATTAAAGAGAAATCACTGTGCTGCTTACTGGTTTTCAAATGTTTCTTTAATCCGGTTGCATTTAGGAAATTAAATCTCATACCTCTCTTACCCAAGTTCTATCTGTTATTAAAAACAAAAGCAGCCTGGCGTGGTGGCTCACGCTTGCAATCCCAGAACTTTGGGAGGCCAAGGCAGGTGGATCACTTGAGGTCAGGAGTTCGTGACCAGCCTGGCCAACACGGTGAAACACTGTCTCCACTAAAAATACAAAAATTAGCCAGGTAGGCCCGGTGCGGTGGCCCACGCCTGTAATCCCAGCACTTTGGGAGGCCAAGGTGGGCAGATCAAGAGGTCAGGAGATCGAGACCATCCTGGCTAACACGGTGAAACCCAATCTCTACTAAAAATACAAAAACATTAGCCCAGCGTGGTGGCGGGTGCCTGTAGTCCCAGCTACTCAGGAGGTTGAGGCAGGAGAATCACTTGAACCCAGGAGGCTGAGGTTGCAGTGAGCCAAGATCGCACCACTGCACTCCAGCCTGGGCGACACAGCAAGGCTCCGTCTCCAAAAAAAAAAAAAAAAGAATATAAGAACTGAGTCTTAACACTTTATACCTATAAAAAATTTTCAATACTTATGAGTTCTTAGCTAACATACTCCAACTTTTAGGATATTTTACATACATTTGTCTGATGAAACAGGCTGGTGACATTATAGGTACCAATTTTCAGAGGAAGCACAGTAATTTACACCAGTCCTAGGGTATATAAGTGGCTTATCTGAGAACTGGAATCTCCTGAGCCTGTGCCCTGGATTCAGCCTAAATCAGTCTTTTATCAAACACTTACTGACTTTCTACTACAGTCAAACTAATTTAACACTCAGAAAACAAAGATGCATAATTGATATATCCTATCTTAAAAGGACTTTCAATTTCCTACAATACAAGGCAGAACAGTGAGTGGTTAATTCTGATTGAAAGGGCTAAGAAAAACTTCATAAAGGAAATGGGATTTGAGTTGAGCCATAAAGAATGAACATAATTTTATTAGAAGAGGATTAGAAAAAGGGGACTTAAGATTAAGAGAAGACAATAAGCTAGAGTGTGAGGTACTTTGGAGGTACAATGAATACGCTTCTGTGGCTAGGGATGAACAAGTAATAGGCCTCCTTACTTCAGACCAGGCAGATCCCGGACACTGGCTCCTATTTCCTCTGCTTCTGGGTACAACTTCTCCACCAGTTCCAAAGGGCCCCAGATGGTTTTGTTATAACTCAAAAATGATTTTCTTACTGAAAAAAAGAACACATAAAACACATAATACACACAATATCAACATATAAAACTGTAGTAACTTATTTTTAAATATTTAGTTTCAACATTTCTAACTTAGCATACAATTATTCAGAGACCTGTCCTCTCTTTTATCCACTACATATCCCAGTGGATACGGAGCCTGTGCAAGTAGGATCCTGTTGCCCATCCTGCTATTTTTTTCCTGCATGATAAAAAGGCACAGTGACCATTCTTTCATATCAAATAGGCAGTCAGGCAATTAAAGTGAAAAATAACTGCACTCATTCTCTACCAGTACCAAAATAAAGGCTAGTGGCCCTAGCTGATTGATCTTTATAAGTTTATTAAATAAACATAGCACAAATAAAAAGTTATTTTATTTTTTATAATAATGCTTTTGCTTTTTGTTTTTTTAGTAAGTAGAGATGGAGTTTTGCTATGTTGACCCGGCTGGTCTTGAACTCCTGGCCTCAAGTGTTCCTCCCATCTCAGCCTCCCAAAGTGCTGGGATTACAGGCATGAGCCACCACACCTGGCCTAAGAAGTTATTTTAATTTTAAATATGAAAAATTGTTAATTTCCTTTTCCTTGTATTTTATTCTGAGATTTAGTCAATATAAAACCATGAAACTGCCATACATTTATTTGTTATTACTGACCAGATCTCCTGCAAAAAAGGGTGCCTATCATATACACCACCCGAGGATAACCAAGATAGGCAATTTTTCCCGGGGGTAGAAAAATCACACACACAAAGTAGCTTTACAATGATTTATCCAGATAAGCCTATAACTGCTAGGACATGGTTCAACATATATTGTGAAGTAAAGGATAATACAGTCTAAAACTAGTTTTAAATTTAACTATTTTGGCTATAATTTGGCAACTATATTTCAATAGGCTTGGGGAAAATCAAGATGCACTCCTGGGTGACAGAGTGAGACCCCCATCTCAAAAAAGAAAAAAAAGAGGAGCATGGTTATGGTTAAATAAAATATGCCATATATATACTGATATAATTCTGATATAGACATCTATGTAAATGGAAAGATCTCCAAGCTTATTATTTTAGCTTTATATTATCTTATATTATATTTAGCTTATATTATCTTTATAAAGATCTCCACATTATTATTTTTTTTTATTTATTTTTTTTGAGACAGAGTCTCACTCTCTCTCCCAGACTAGAGTGCAGTGGCACGATCTCAGCTCACTGTAACCTCTGCCTCCCAGGTTCAAACAATTCTCCTGCCTCAGCCTCCCAAGTAGCTGGGGCTACAGGCATGCAGTGCCACATCCAGCTAATTTTTGTATTTTTAGTAGACATGGGGTTTCACTATGCTGGCCAGGCTGATCTCGAACTCCTGACCTCAAGTGATCTGTCGGCCTCAGCCTCCCAAAGTGCTGAGATTACAGACATGAGCCATTGCACCCAGCCATTTTTTTTTTTTTAAAGAAGGAAGTCACAGAATAATAGCATGAGTACAATTAGAGTAAAAGAAAAAAAAAAAAAAAAAAACAGAAAAGGCATAAGAGAATATCTAATTCTCCCATTTTCTTTCTTTCGAGACAGTGTCTCACTCTGTAGCCCCAGGCTGGAGGGTAGTGGCACAATCCCAGGTTCAAACGATTCTCTTGCCTCAGCCTCCTGAGTAGCTGGGATTACAGGTGAACATCACCAGTCTGGCTAATTTTTGTATATTTTGGTAGAGACGGGTTTTCACCATGCTGGCCAGGTTGGTCTTAAACTCCTGACCTCAAAGTGATCCACTCGCCTCAGCCTCCCAAAGTGCTGGGATTACAGGTGCCCAATTTCCTTTAGATAAATTAATAAAAGAGAATGAACAAAAAACCGTGTTTTGCTCTGTGTACTTCTCTGTTGTTTGATTCACGTACAAAAAGAGTATATTTTGCTAGTGTTTATATATTTTAAGAAATTGCTTTAAGTCTTTAAAGAAAAAGAAACGAGTATGCTAATAACATCACATAGGATTTTCTCAAATTTTGATGTCAAGGCTTCCTTCTTGTTTTGAAGTACTTTTTATTAAAACAAGGTTTAGGTAAATCTTTGGTTTTTTTGTTTTTGTTTTTGTTTTTTTGAGACAGGGTCTCTGTTGCCCAGGCTGGAGTACAGTGGTAAAATCACAGCTCACTGAAGCCTCGACCTTCTCAGGCTCAGGTGATCCTCCCAGTTCAGCCTCCCGAATAGCTGGGACCACAGGCATATGCTGGGATTACAGGCATGAGCCACCATGTCCAGCCAGTCAAGCTTCTTTTACTCTATAATAGTCACTCTAGTGTACAACTCTTACACAGCCCTCTACACAGATACTCATCATATGAACTAGAGGCCAAAACTGTGAACAATTATTATAAGTAAAAGCACAGTTATTATGCAATTAATATTTTAAAGTAAATATAAAACAAACATTTTATACGTAACAATAATTCAATATGTGCTGATAGTAGAATACGATATCTGCTGTTATCATCCTCAGGGATGGCTCACATTTCTACAATAACTCCATCCAGAAGATATTTCTACATATGTTCGTGTATGTATCTAGGAGGTTTCTATTTCAACAATCTACTATTTCAATGCACTTTTCAACAGGGTTTGAAGTATTAATGAGCTCATAACAGTATCATTAGCTTTAAAATATAACTCTATAATTGTCCTAGAAAACAGAAACCAGTTCAGATTATGTAAGTTTAAAAAATTTAAAAATCAAATATTCTGTTTACAAAACATTAACAACTAAGCATTTTCTGAAGATCATTATTAGACCATTATTAGAAAACATAAAGAGATATTTTCTCCCAAAATCAATCCACTCAATATTTTTTAGTTCATAGTAATAGTAATTATGGCCTCAAAAAATAACCCATTCTCAAGGGCACTTAAAATGGAAAAAGGGAAATTCTAAAATGAATTAATTTTTAAAAATCTCACAATACCTTTAAGACCGTGTTTCAGGCAATGTTCCATAACAACAAAGAATTGCTGCAAGGGGGGATAATCAGAATCCAAAGTGCGGCCAAAGCTCAGGGCAGATTCAATGAGTCCTTTGATACTCAGTTTAGCCATGTTTAACAAGTTTGCTCTCTCTACAGCTGTGGGGTCTTTTGTAGCTGAAAACACAAGAAAGGAATCCAACATCATTTGCAAGACATGACAATGAAAAAAATACACAAACCCTTGCTTTTTCCTATAAAAACCAATAGTAGTTTGCTGTTTCTTGGTTGACAAATTCTCCCCAGCTAAACTACACCCTTGATTAACTTCTCTTTATGTCTCTCACATATACTGTAAAAAATTTCCGGCCGGGCGCGGTGTCTCACGCCTGTAATCCCAGCACTTTGGGAGGCCGAGGCAGGCAGATCACGAGGTCAAGAGATTGAGACCATCCTGGCCAACATGGTGAAACCCCGTCTCTACTAAAAATACAAAAATTAGCTGGGCGTGGTGGTGTGCACCTGTAATCTCAGCTACTTGGGAGGCTGAGGCAGGAGAGTCACTGGAACCCAGGAGGCAGAGGTTGCAGTGAGACGAGATAGCGCCACTGCGCTGCAACCTGGTGACAGAGCGAGACTCCGTCTCACAAAAAAAAAAAAGAAAAGAAAACAGAAAATCTCTATGACCACTCCAGCCAAAGTTTATGAATTATTCTCAAGATCCTGCAAATCTGTCATTCTCCTGTATTTATTTAACTTTCCTGGTACCTCTTCATAGAGAATGAGTTTTTAAAATGACCTTCTGTGGAGATAAATTTGGGCTGAAAGACAACATGTTTAAGGGCCTCACGCAAAAGGTGAATAGCAGGTACCATCTAAGGATGAATTCCAAGGCAAAAACGTTCAGAATAAACTGGCAATAAAATAAAGGTAGTTAAAATTCTAGGATTCCACTGTCACCCACAACAAACATGATAGGTAAAATACACTGACAAGTAAGGGGAGACAGGAGAAGCCGTCCAATTCTTTCAGTCTATCCTCTTTCTGTCTGGCTTCTTCATTCTGACTGTAGTTCTGTATTGCATGACTGTTTTATTTTCAAAGAGAAAAGCAGAGACCAGTTTTACATTAATGCTTCTCAGCCATCCACACAGTTGAGGAAGGCCACAGCGCCAGTCTGAATACCAAGTTAATAGATGCATATTCCAAAAGGCCTGATTTTTAATTGATATTTTTAAGACACAGTATCATCAAGCAAGATGTTTTCAATTCACAAAACTATTGTCCTCCTTCCCACAAATTTTATTCTCAGTTTACTTAGAAATTCAGACGCTTCCCCATCATCTCGTCACTGTTGTGACTGGTGGAAATACCTTCAACAAACACAGATGACAAAACTAAGGTGTGGACAAACAAAGCACTTAATATAACACATCATAATCTCTGACAAATGTACAAGTCATCAATGTGTCCGTTTTTCCTTCACTGAACAACAACAACAAAACCCAGAGTCTCCAAAGATCTAGTATTCTAGCTCTGATTTCTAGATAGCTAGGCATGAAGACTGACACTGAATCCTAAGCAACCTAAAAGGCAAACAGCCACAACTGCTGTGGCCAAACTGCCTGGTGCAAAAATGTCCACACACGACATTCCTTTAAATCTGCATCGTGGTCTGACTCCCACTACTTTTCGGGAGTGAAACCACTTGATGTTTCATAATCCGTGGCAACTCTCATTTTTAACACAGCCCATCATAATTCCTAACGTGCGATGCCACAACCACACAAAGGGTGTTTTGCAGCTGCTGGGAGGCAGATCGGTGCTGGGCACTGGTAGTTCCCACGCCGAGGGGCGCTCACACCGCGGCCACGCCCCGGCTGCGCTCCAGGACTCCTCCGGCCTGGACGTGACCCCCAAACCCGGCCGCAGGCGCGCGAGAACTCCCAGGGCCAGTGCCCGCACCTTGCCAGGACCAACCCCTTCCCTGCTTCTCTTCCTGCCCCTTCCCCCCAGCAAGGCTGCCCAGAGGCCTGGGGCCCCCCAGGACCATCGCGGCGGGCTCACCCAGGCTCCTGCGCGTCAGCACTCCCCGTCTCCCGCCCTCGGCGCCAGGCACCCAGGCCAAAACCTGAGATGCGTCTTCCCTCCGCCACCCCCAAACCTGAAAAGTCATCGCCCCTCCCCGACTGCTCCCCGACTCCGGAGTGACACCCTGCCCGGCCCAGTCCTCGCTCCTGGACGCCGTGGCACCTCGAGCCCTCGGCCACTATGCCTCAGAACCTGGGCGGGAACGGGCCGGAACAAGGGAGGGGGCACGTTGCCATGACGACCCCGGGAGCCCCCGAGTCCCAGGCAGTCCCCGCCCATCCCGGGTTCGGGCCCCAGTTCCGACTGCCGGCCTC